GAGAGAGAGAGAGAGAGAGAGAGAGAGAGAGAGAGAGAGAGAGAGAGAGACTTGTGTCCACTAGTGGCTAGATTAAAAAAAAAAAAAATGGGGTACTTATATAGCGCATTATCACATAGTCATAGTGGAGGACTTTACGGGCTGCATATTAAGGCGCTATTAGCAGCCGTGCAGCTTACAATCATGAGTGATTTATTAGTACGTTAGTGTTATGCCTCCAAATTGGGATAGGCTGTTGAACAGGGAGACAATCCCCTACTCTTTCACGAATAATTCAACAGGTTCTTTTAATTATGTCCCCCATTTACTGTAGGTTAGGAAGGGTTGGGAGACAGGGCCTACGGTTTAAGAAGGAAAACCTGATACAGGTTGTCCGAGAAGACTTGAAGGTCTAACCATTTGCAGGTGTAATTCAAAAGGCAGCACCTTCTCCTCAGTTATTTTAAGACCCTGAGTGTTGGTCCGGCCGAGGCTTGAACCACGACCTCCCGCACAACAGACCGACGCTCTTACCAACTGAGCTAACCAGTGGCTAGATAGCATATATCGAGGAAAAAGAGCATTGAACATTGTTTCACTCTAACCAGGTAGGTGTGTTTTAAAGTTACTGTTGCTAGCGTTGATATATAGAACTAGCGTTTTACACAATGCTAGCGCTACAGGTATAGAGTCTACATTTTATCACATTCAGTTTTCTTCAATATGCAACTAAAATCACTTGAGGCAGCATCAGTATCAGGTTTTCATGTTTTCTGTGTCTTCATTTAGTCACAGCGATATTACTTTCCATGGTCCTACTCCGCTTCCTTTTGACATTATCATCATTTATTTTTGCATTGGCGGATAAGTTGAATGGAAGTTAAGATAATACCTCTGCAACAAAAAAAAAAAAGCAAAGCAAAGATGATGGTGGCGAGTAAAATTACTAACCAAGATCTAATAAGAAAGTAAAAACAGAAAACGAAAGGCAGAAGAGAATGAAGGAAAAAGGAAGGAAGTGGAAAACAAAAGCCATCGCAAAATAATTCTCTTCGACTACTTTTAAGATCTTAATCAAACCTTCAATGATTTTGACTTTCTTCCTCTTTTCGTTGAGATCAAAAACCCTGGACAATAAAAGAAAAGATTATGAAATTATATTGAAGTAGTAATAAATGAAATTAGTC